AAATAATTATAGGGATGCTTTCCAGAAGTGGGTAAAGCTTGGATGGACAGGCTGTGCATAAACTTTTAAAAAGTATATTCCAAGGAGTACCACACGATAGACAGGAATATCAAGTTATGAAATGCATCCTCAGACTGGGATCTAAATTTTGAAGAGGCAGGTGATAGAAGAGAATCCTCATAAGGTTTCAGTGGTCACGGAGGTAAGATAAGGTACGGTAAGTACATAAGTAGTACAGTATGCAATAAATTGGAGGTAGCATGTAGCTACTCTACTCAAAACCAGTATGAATCGGTCGCCAATCTCACTTCAATATTTTTCAAATCGACACAAATGCTGTTTTATGGTAAAATTATCGGATTTAAAATGCATATCGCCATATTTTAGGTCTTTATTCGAATGGAATAAATAGGTTGTCACGTTACTTTTGTTTATAAGGTGATCTTCCCCATTAAAATTGCCAGAATTTGTGTCTATGCGTGTAAACTATATGTTCTGAATTATTCCGTTTTAGTTGACAACTCGATTCCCGTACGTAGGACGGGCCACCAGCTCGTATTTAAATAAAAATATTTAATAATTTCATAAATAATTTATTTCATACATAAAAGATTCCATAAAAAATGTGTGTAATCTTAAGCGAGCTCTTATACTAGACAAACTCAAGTTATGACGAATACTAGACACCACAAGAATGTAAAGAATCAATACTAGTATAAAACTAAGTAAATTTTTCCTAAGCCGAACACTTTATTGTCTCTGTCAATTGTTATACAGTATTTAGAAATGTGTCAAATTATGTACACAAAAGTTCAAAGAAAACATGACAGGATAATAGCGATTGGTCGAATCATGTTCTAAGTATCATATCTAACATATAATCATTATGAATTTAGAATTATTTCTAAAAAGTGGACAATCGTTTACTAGTGTTTTAGTAGAGTTGTACAATTTACCAAATCACAAGTTTAGCAATCATTAAACAGGTTAAACATAGAATAAACTAACAAAGTTTTAAATAAAGATTACAACAGTATAAAAATACTTTTACTATGTGACAAGTAGTAAGTCGAACAAAGTAATCACTTCGATACTTACAGTTTAGTTTACTACACGTGCGAAGATTGAGTAATTACAAAGGCAACTTGGCAAGGTGGACTTTAATAATAACTTTGTAGTTTGCCAGTTCTTCACTCTAATTGACTTACATCAGACTGGAATAACTCACTCGACATCATTCGTTTTTAAATAGAACTGTGTCACTAATTATATTGTATTCGAAATTTTTTCACCTAAATATTCATCTAAAAGTTTGGATTTTAACTCTAACCTTTGCAGTGATTTTATAGTCTAAAAGGCGAAAAAACTATAAAAAATCATTGTAATACGATATACATACGAGCATAACATAAGCAGCATCGTACAATATAATATTATTTTCCCCACGAAAACCTACAAATACCTGCGATCTGTTATTCAGGGTTTATAAACATTAATAAACAGCGAATAGTATTTTTGATGAGGTAAGTCTTGCACAAAAAGTGAAATAGTAATTTGACATCCTGCATCAGTGTGGCGGCGGATGAAGACTAAACATGGATCATTTCTGATTTCAAGCAATACAGGGTTATTACAAATGATGTCCCTAAATTAGATTATAAATATTACTGGGTTAATTTGTTTCAAGACTATTTTAGTTGGTACCATTGGAAATAAAAACTCATAAAGTTTCATATACATTGGTTTGGGTGCATATCAGCTCTTTGTCAAGTCAATTGTTGTAAGTGTTGTGTAATGGCTGAATTTGAAGGCAGGAAAGCTTTTTGCCAGTTGGAATATTACATTAACCAATCTGTTATTAGTGTGCAACGACACTTTAGAACCAGGTTTAACGATGATCCTCCTTGTAACCACTATATTGGCAAGTCACACTTGAAATTTAAGAGAAATGGCTGCATTTGAATGTTACTTGTAGTAGGGCTGAACTTAACAATGTGCTGCCTGAGAAATGGAACGAGCTCGGTGGTCCGAACAATGACACACCCCTGAACTGGCCTACAAGATCTCCGGACATCACCCCCTGTATTTTTTTCTTGTGGGGATACATCAAAGATAAGGCGTACACACCCCCGTTATCAGATAGCATACTTGAGATTCAGCAACGGATTACCAATGCTATCGAAACAATAGATCAAGACACACTTTTCAAAGTCTAGCTTGACTACATTATTGACATCTGTCGTACCACAAGGGGTTCCCGTATCGAGCATTTACAGTTCTGTGTATCTGTGTCGAAACTTTTTGAGTTTTTCAAAAGTTGTAACCATTTTATTTCTTTGTATAACATATAAAACTATATTTTATGTATGTTTGAAATCATATCATTTGTAATAACCCTGTATTTCTGAATATTGTATGTATTGTCACATTATAGAACAATATTAGAAATTTGTTATGCAACAGTATAAAATATTTTTACAGACTAATATCATGTCCCGTTATAATGTCATGATAATTCCATGTATCAGAGCCAAATTGGTAGCTAAATTCAAAAGATTCATTTTCAAACGTAAAATATCAACTAACATAGCAGTACAAACTATCCGTCTACATTAATTTAGTTCATTCAATCAATGCTTTAACAGTATTAAAGTATCATGGATGTGGGGTTTCTTTTTAAATCCGTGTAGAATGAAAGAGTCGCCTGATTGGACACTGTAATTGGTGCATGCATAGTCTCTGTGTAACTGATTTGAAGGACAAGCCATTAAATGAATCTCACCGTGGTATTGTTACAAACACGCCTACACGTTACGTTTAGATATTTTAAACGTACTATTTAGAAGTAAAACTGCATTTGTTAACTTTTGGGTTGGTGAATAAAAGTAAAATTATTAATTGATTAAACTATATTAAGTTAAATATATCAAGTTGTCACAAAATTAATTAATTACTCGAAGGAACATATTTAAGATTAACATAAAATTGATATTAAAATGAACTTGAGTTTATAATTCAATTGAATGGAAAAGGCACTAGCCGTAAATTATTGTCGTCAAGGTGACACGGTGTTAATGCAGAGACGCTCCAAGAGTCCGCCATGTTGGCATATTATTTCAGGGAATTTTTTGTAGTACTATACAGAGAATTTTTGTAAATTTATTACGTTTTTCCATAGTGAAAGCTGTAAATGCTTATATATGTAAATGCTATATATATATATATATATATATATATGTGTAAATGCTTATATTATACTGTATAATGCCTAGCTCCCAAGGTCAATTCTTATATTATATCTAAAAAAAAGTTTCGGATTGATAATGGATACAACGTTTTAAAAAAGGGGATAGCCTGTACGGATCTTATTTGTATTAGAACACACAACGGTTCTATTTGATCTTTTCAAACGTACTTTTTTACGTTAATAGTCTTACTTTTAATAAAACTTTATACTTTCCTTACAAAAGTAACAAGTGATAAAGTAAGCAATACAAATACGTTCATTTTAAACCACAGAAAATGACGTCATTTTGCAATTTTCACATTCAAATTGGAACTTGGTTTTAAATCAGATGAAGCGTTACAACGAGTTTACGAAGAGGCGATTTTTCAGTCAATAAATTGAGTGGAAACCCTGAAACGCCGCAGTCCAATTAGGGATTTATCATTGGAGTATTTGTGGATTGCAGTTAACACACAATCGCCATAACAGGGGAAAGTAGGTCTGAAGTCTGGGAGAAAAACATACACAGGGTAAAATGTTGTAATACTGATAATAACCGATGGTGTTTGTTTGTGGTTTATGCAATGGACGTAGTGTGAGTTAAAGTGATTTCTAAAGGTTCAATAAAAAAACACTATTTGACAAGTAGGCATGTTGTCTCTTTTAACTAAATCTAACAAAACAGATGGAGACAGATTAGTACGTCGATTCAATGTTTGAATAAGGAATAATGACTTCGCAACAAATCAAGGAACACTAAGGCTGTAGCTGCTTTAGGGATCGATTCTTCTAAGGCTCTACTCCAAATTTCAAGGATAGAAGCTGGAATTAGTTAACATACTCCCACAGATTTCTAAAGGATTTTTCAAGTATAAGTTTGCCAACACAATAATCATCATTGTTCAACCGCTGGCAATGTTTAAAAGCTAAAAGCTCAAAATTAATAGCAGTCTTAAATTTAGAGAAGGAAACAAAGCTTGCAAGGTTTCTACAAGCTTCTGTATGTGATACTGTCAATCACCCTCAATCTGTTGTTTTAAGCTAATGGATGTGACACTCTTGTAAGATAATCACATCTAAGTTTCAATCTTCATTTAGATTATTCCTGAAACTATACATTGCATATTAGAGAGCTTCGACATTCCATTATGTAGATATTTAACCGTCTCATCGCAAGCAATACAGATTATACGTGTTGATTACAATATAATGGGTGAATATTGATTTCCCAACATCAACATGTATCAGTGTCAATGATCAATAAGACACATCTCAAATGTTACAGTAAGGTAATCTCATTCACTCATGAAGTGTTTGACATTACATAATATGATATTATCTTAGGTAATTACTACGTCTCCCATGAGTCTGAAATAGTCAACTAATATGCGAACCCCTGTTTACATTCACAATTTTTTTTAGGGTAACCTAAAGTAATTTTGATAAGTATTGTGACATAGTTTTTTAAATTATTTTAGAATAATATATTGACTTGCGAATAAGTGGTAACTAAGCAAAAACCCAATGGCCAATATACTCAATAATATATATATAAGTTTAGTTTAGTTATTTTGCTTTGAAATTTAAGTCAAATTCTTACTGAGTTGAAAATATTATGTTCCAACCTGTTAAAGCAATGGTTTAACTAATTGGGAGGGTCCGAATGATTGAAACATTTTCCACATTCAATAATTATAAGATATATTTATTCAATTATCACGAGTAAGAAGTATTTGTATGACTACTCTAGGAATACCAATTTGTTTTGCAGATCACCACAGACAACCAATGCCAGGATAGGATGGACATTGAGGCTGGGGTCGTAGCTTGGGATTGCGAGGACGCCTTAAACCTCACGACCTCGGCATTCAGTGACCTCGACCTCGGTTGCAACGACACCGTCTTGCCTGTCAACGACTCCCTCAACGACCCAGCCTTCTTCTCCCATCGCTACCGTGCTGTAGGGACCTTCTTTCAGGTACGCATAACGTATTGGTATCTTCCTTCTTTCCTACGTTGCCTCCTCTAAAGGCAACGGCGAGAGAAAAGTGGCAACGCCGGAGTCCCGGCCTGCTGAGACAAATAGGCACTAAGTTATCTGGAGCGCCTGTGCAATGCAGACATTTACACGTTTGTTGTTATTATAGTTATAGAATATTGCCGATGAGTGCGGCTTTGCAACATTGTTGGGCGTGGCCTTAGATGGGCCACGTATTCATATTAGTGATGAATACGTCAGTGATTAATTTGTTACTAAGACCAGCTGAGTCTCTAGCGAGGACTGCTCAAGAAACTTGCAATAACTAAGGACAAATATATCTATTATCAAATTATGAAAATAAGCTAATCCTTTCATAGGACGAAAATAAATGCTTTTATTACATCACGAGCACTTAAATAGCTAGGAGTAAGGGTATACCAATTACAACTGAATAACTTAATCATAAGTTGTAACTCAATAGCAACTACCTTTCAAATTTGTTCGTTGGGCAGAAAAGAAGATAAGCCAACAATTGCTTATTACAATTACTTGCGTCCAAATATTTAAGATTTGTTTAACTGTGTGAGTCGGGATAAAGATTACTTATGCTTTGATTTATTGGTAAATCCTATCTGGAATTAAATTATCGTAGGCCTAGAATCTGACTTTTACCAATCAACATATACTGAGCATCTTAGGAGTAAAAGGTCCTTTGAATTAAAAAATATTGTTGCGGTAAACACTTATTTCTAAGTCCCACAATTCTTATTACATGTTACACTTGTGGTAGTGGACTTAATACTTGGTACACTTATAATTTTATGGTACATAGTTCTTATTACCTGTTTTTTTCATGTATTGTACCTATTTAAAAGTAAGCCTAATTTTGCAGTAATTGTTATTATTTTGACACAATTTAAATTGTTTATGTTTAAAATAGGCAAAGCATAATATTTACAAGTAAGCTATATTTTGTTGCCCTTGTGAAATCAAAAGTATGAAAGGAGGTGATCAATGATATGGGAGATATTTTTACAGATGGAAAGTTGTTAACAAACTCAGACCATTCACAAAGTCGAATCTCTTGAGGGTGTTGGCAAAGCGTCTTTCCCTTTCATGGAACCAAGCAAACATACTTTGTTTATTGACATGAAACCAAATCGTACATTTCTTTGAGAATGTGTTCAAATTTGACTGTTTCCTTTATGGTGGTATTATATCATAAACAATAACTCGTCCCCTAGTTATATAACCAAAATGTAAAGCTCAAATCATTAAATTAACCCAGAACCTGGTGTTAACTTAGTAGGTTATTCGTGAACCTTTTCTACACCCCACCACCATCTTTGTACTTGGCTTCTATGATAATTCTGTATAAATAGAGATGCTATGAAAATGTCACCCAACCAACTATATGCAAACTCCCGTGACGTTAAAATAATATGTAGTCGTGTCGTTTCTTGTAAAAAATATGACAACCTTCGAAAGAAACGATCCTGCTCTTGTAATACCTGTTGATGGATCGATATTAAGTGGCTTCTGGTGGTATTAGTGGAGGTATATGCACGCGCAGTCTCCACTACTCTCTAACTATTATACATTTCGATGCTATGGGAATTTCACACACACAACCTATGTTGCAGGGTATAGTGTTCCTGGTAGGTACTGTATGCTGGGTAACCTGATGGTTGTGGTGGTTCTACGCACGCTCAGTCTCCACTACTCTCTAACTATTATACATTTCGATGCTATGGGAATTTCACACACACAACCTATGTTGCAGGGTATAGTGTTCCTGGTAGGTACTGTATGCTGGGTAACCTGATGGTCGTGGTGGTAGTTCTACGCCTACGTAGTCTCCACTACTCTCTAACTATACATTTCGATGCTATGGGAATTTCACACACACAACCTATGTTGCAGGGTATAGTGTTCCTGGTAGGCATGCTGGGTAACCTGATGGTTGTGGTGGTTCTACGCACGCGTAGTCTCCACTACTCTCTAACTATTATACATTTCGATGCTATGGGAATTTCACACACACAACCTATATTGCAGGGTATAGTGTTCCTGGTAGGCATGCTGGGTAATCTGATGGTCGTGGTGGTAGTTCTACGCACGCGCAGTCTCCACTCTCCCACCAACTGCTACCTCGTGTCCCTGGCTGTGGCAGACATGGTCGTCCTCGTCGCCTCAGTCCCCAACGAGATCCTCAGCTATTACCTGGTCGGCAACCAATGGGTCTGGGGAGACCTCGGGTGTTCACTCTTCGTCTTCTTCCAGAACCTCGGGATCAACTCTTCTTCGTTGAGTTTGATCGCGTTTACTTTTGAAAGGTAAGCAAGAAGGTGTAACTTTATGGCTAAATAATGTTTGCTATTTGTTTTAACATGACTTATGATATTGGGTTAAATAATTGAATGCAGAAAGACTGAACATGATCTAGACACGAAAGGCGAGCTTCAAAATTTACAATGGGATGAGAAGTCTAATACATCTACTTGTGTTGGTTACTATGGTGATGAGGAACAGCTTGGGCCAGTTACAAACCCCCAAAAAACTAATGAACTTTCCTAGGGTCGAACCTCCGACACCAAACAACCATCTACGTCATCCATGACTCATCTACTCAACTACTTGGCTGTGAACAATCACAGGAATTACACTTTTATTAAATATACATATTACGACTTGTCTCACCCGTATGCCTATTATCCACTGATATTACATTTGAAGTTGTAATATATCTCGGATACCGATTGTTCAAAATCGAGATATTGGAACATATAAGAGAGTGATATCGGAGGGGAATACAACACGCACGTCTCTAACATATTTTATTTAGCTGCGCAACCTCAACCCGACCCAACCCTTCCATTTGGGAGTTGCTTAACGATGTAAACTTGAATTTAGATTCTATCTGTGTCATCCTTACACAGAAATATACATTTCATGTCATTTTACATACGGTTACATGCACTTGTAACTTATTTACTTAAACTTTGTTAGTAAGAAACTCAAGAACTGTATTGTAGTGAAGTATAAAGTTGCAGAAGTAAAAGAAATATACGCCGACAAATATTCTGATAGTCGATATTTTGAAAGTAACATAATGCAACTTTATATTCTAAGCCAGTAAGCAAAGTTTGGATTTATTTTTAGCTTTTCACTTATCAGCAGTTACCTTTGTAACACTATTTATCATTAAACTTATGATCCGTTTGTATGCTGATGGCCCAAGTGTAAGACTTTAGCGGTACATTCGTACTCTATAACCTTCAAATCAGTAATTTTTCTTAGTAATAAAACAAACGCCCAATCTCAATAATAATAAAGTTGAAGAAACTAGTTTAAAAAGTAAGTATACTTTTTTAAATCCAACATAAAATATTTTATTATTTTTAAACATGCCCAAAAAGTTAGATTTTAGAAGTAACATTTTAAAATCTGATTAATGGTTATTATTTATTCTTTGTTCATCGGTGAATATGAATTTAAGATTTTTTTTTCATTGAGTTATTAACTAGTTGCAATTTTCATCCCACGTTTAAATTAGATAACAAAACGTTTTAGGTTGATCGTAAATTAACTGGCAATGAAATGGGCTTGTTATATTCCAACGGCAATGGATTGTAAGAAAGCATAATTATTTCAAAGGGTGATAATAAACCTGCCGTATTTAGATTAAAAATTGAACACTGTAAACCCTTTTGTACTTAACATTATTGAGCACTTTATTAGGAAATGACCGAAAAAATTATAAAGTTGAACAACCGCTGCAAGGAGAGAAACAAAGCGCATTTGAGTCTTTAATAATTCAGGTATGCTAAACATTACCCAAGAGTAAGGCTATTTACATAAACAGAAGTTTTAAAGAGCTTTACCCTCCGAGCTTGAAAAAGTTCATTCTAGAGATAATGTTTCAGTTAAGTGACAATGTGTACTTTATGAATAATTTACATAAGCTCTTTCTTAGCATGAAAGTTTCTAGCTAGGATCGTTTTACACATTACTTCACGCTAGGGCTAGAGGGTTCAAGGCATTATCAAATAGCTAAAAGCACAGACAATGGATACAAGTACTACGGTAATAGCTTATTCTATGTATGGGAAATTCGCTAAAACACAGCAATTTTAAAACTGGATCATATTTTTTAATGATTATTTTTCCTTAAATACATTATGACGTATTAAAACTGTATACCAAGTTTCATAAAGATATCTTGAATAGTTTTCGAGAAATATCTCATTAAAAGCGCGTTCATTCAAATTCAAATAGAATCCCACGGCGCCACTCGAGGAGGAAACGCTTCGCGTCTTCCGCTACAGTGGCGCGGCAATACAGCCGCATCATGAAACAGCGCCTAGCGCAGATCCAGCTGACCGTCTGATATTGTCTGTATGAACCAAGTATTAACAATTACTTGAAAAGTAAATATTGTACTTTTGAAGGTAATTGAACTTATCAGTTTATTCAATGAACATGTACATTCGTATCTGTCAAATAGGCTACAGCTGGTCTGATGGTTAGACTACGACACTTCTATCCTGACAATTCCAAACACATCCAGTCAATATCGTAATTGTTTCAAATGATTTCACATGGTGGTTTAGATCTCCCGCAAACAACTCATGCATATTAAGACAGGGTGTTTATGAGGCCTTATTTATCTATAACACAATTTTTAGCAACGACTAACCTAAATTGTGTGTGTTGATATTTGTGTGTGTTTGTAGGTACATTGCGATATGTCACCCCATGAAGGCACAAAAGATCTGCACACAGCGACGCGCCCGGAAGATCATCGCTACAGTGTGGGCTGTAGCTGTAGTCTACTGTGCTCCATGGCTAGTCCTCTCCAACACCAAGCCTCTGTAGTCTCAGCAGTAATATGTCTGTGTGTGTGTTTGTAGGTACATAGCGATATGCCACCCCATGAAGGCACAGAAGATCTGCACACAACGGCGTGCCAGGAAGATCATCGCTACAGTATGGGCTGTAGCTGTGGTCTACTGTGCTCCATGGCTAGTCCTCATCACCACTAAGCCTCTGTAGTAATATATGTCTGTGTTTGTAGGTACATAGCGATATGTCACCCCATGAAGGCACAAAAGATCTGCACACAACGGCGTGCCAGGAAGATCATCGCTACAGTGTGGGATGTAGCTGTAGTCTACTGTGCTCCATGGCTAGTCCTCACCACCAAGCCTCTGTAGTAATGTCTGTCTGTGTTTGTAGGTACATAGCGATATGCCACCCCATGAAGGCACAGAAGATCTGCACACAACGACGCGCCCGGAAGATCATCGCTACAGTATGGGCTGTAGCTGTGGTCTACTGTGCTCCATGGCTAGTCCTCTCCAACACCAAGCCTCTGTAGTCTCAGCAGTAATATGTCTGTGTGTGTGTTTGTAGGTACATAGCGATATGCCACCCCATGAAGGCACAGAAGATCTGCACACAACGGCGTGCCAGGAAGATCATCGCTACAGTATGGGCTGTAGCTGTGGTCTACTGTGCTCCATGGCTAGTCCTCATCACCACTAAGCCTCTGTAGTAATATATGTCTGTGTTTGTAGGTACATAGCGATATGTCACCCCATGAAGGCACAAAAGATCTGCACACAACGGCGTGCCAGGAAGATCATCGCTACAGTGTGGGATGTAGCTGTAGTCTACTGTGCTCCATGGCTAGTCCTCACCACCAAGCCTCTGTAGTAATGTCTGTCTGTGTTTGTAGGTACATAGCGATATGCCACCCCATGAAGGCACAGAAGATCTGCACACAACGACGCGCCCGGAAGATCATCGCTACAGTATGGGCTGTAGCTGTGGTCTACTGCGCTCCATGGCTAGTCCTCACCACCAAGTCTCAGCAGTAATGTATGTCTGTGTGTGTTTGTAGGTACATAGCGATATGTCACCCAATGAAGGCACAAAAGATCTGCACACAACGACGTGCCCGGAAGATCATCGCTACAGTGTGGGCCGTAGCTGTGGTCTACTGTGCTCCATGGCTAGTCCTCACTACCAAGTCTCAGCAGTAATGTCTGTGTGTGTTTGTAGGTACATAGCGATATGCCACCCCATGAAGGCACAAAAGATCTGCACACAACGACGCGCCCGGAAAATCATCGCTACAGTGTGGGCCGTAGCTGTAGTCTACTGCGCTCCATGGCTAGTCCTCACTACCAAGCCTCTGTAGTAATGTATGTCTGTGTTTGTAGGTACATAGCGATATGCCACCCCATGAAGGCACAGAAGATCTGCACACAACGACGCGCCCGGAAGATCATCGCTACAGTGTGGGCCGTAGCTGTGGTCTACTGCGCTCCATGGCTAGTCCTCACCACCACCAAGCCTCTGCAGTACCGAGGCTTCCCTGAAGCAAGGTTCTGCGACTTCAAGCGGCCCAGGGACGAGTACCTCCTCTACTACTTCACAGACCTTGTCGTGTTCTATGTCGTGCCTCTGGTCATCTCTTGTGTTCTCTACGGCCTCATCGCACGGACTCTGTTCAACCGGAAGGTTATCCGTGCAGCCATTAAACCGCCCGCCATCGTAGCTACGGAGTGTCCCTCTTCCTCTAAAAGTCAAGTTGGTACTTCTTTTAAGTCCCCCTAGGATATTAAATTGTGATCATTGATTTACAGCGTGCGCCATTCATTATACCCATTGCACTAATTTTAAACTACCTTTGATAATTTGTTTAGCTAGAAAGTCTAAAAAGGAAATAATAACATAAAATGTTAAAATTAAAAATCCAAATATCTACGTTAAGTATAGAAATATATATATATATACATATATATATATATATATATATATGAACTGTACCAGCAAAGAATGGTTATCTTAAGGGATCCGGCTAGTTATTTTTACTTTAAACATGTGTTATTAATAAGTTTCCTTTCTGTATCAAATAAAATGTTGGAAAGAGTACAGGGACAGATAAGATGCACAGAGCCAGCCACTAGTAAAAAAGATCTTAAAAAAAGAAGGGGATCACTCACAACTTATTGTCTTCTTACCATAGAAATAACGGTGTTAGCTCATTTCCGAAAGGGGAAATTTAAAACATATAAATATACTATCTCAACGAAGCCTATATTCTTTTATGATCGAAGAGCGAGCAGTGGAGGAGTGTTTAAAGTCAAGGTTGCCATTAATGATGTCTCCTTCAACATTACAATGAATCGACGAAGGAAACTGTTTGTATCAAAGAACTTTGTCCTTGACATTTGAAAGCCCCTTTCCCTCATTGATCTCTTTAGGCTTGAAATTGAACTGATAATGACTGTCAGGTGAGAGAAAGTTCACTTCAAATTTTTAAAAGCCTCCTCGAAACGGGCTTTTAGTTTTTTATGAACATATTGTAATTTAAAGTATAGTTGTATTATATGAATTACCTCTTGCACTAAATCAAATAGCAAAATCAAATAATATGTTATAATATTTAATAATAATCAAATAATATTTGGCATAGCAAAATCAAATTGCTCTTGGAGGTTCCAAACAAATATAAACGAAGTAAGTTTATTTAAATAAAATTTAAAAGATTCTTTACCTTTTGAATTAGATAGTTCGCCACAAAATTGTGGTATTTTTGAAATTTGAAGGGTTTTAACAAAACCTCTTTTATATTGAAATTACTATGTTATAAAAAAATCGGCAGCTTATTAAGTGTAGCTGACTGTATCCATTCAACACAACATTTATACGTTTAGTCAATGGTTAAAATTAAAATGGATGATTACGGTAAATTTAGTTTCAAAAGATGAGTACATATTTTATACTAAACTTACTACCATCGATGGTGTATTTTCTAATAATTTTTCGTTTACAAAAAATTTTCAAATTACTTTTTTTATCAGTATTTAAAATCCAAATGGTAAGATGAAAACATTATATATTTCCTTCTTTTCAGAAGTATGAACTGGTAACAAATTTACAACAATTTCCATTTAAATCAGATAAGCTCGACGAAGACTGCTTTCAGGTTAATCAATTGCGTGGGCGAAGCATAAAACGGTCCATTTATATTCAAACGTATTGAATTTATCCGTTTCATATATATTTTTTTTTTTTATTGCTAATAACCCTAATATTCCTGATTAATTTGTCCCCAAGTGATTATGTTTTATCTGTACAAGTATTATATATAGTTGGCCATTACGAAAGCAACAAAACTGATTTGATTTTTAAGTCATTGGTTCGATTTGTCCATTTATTTAATTATTTTTATACTTAACGGGTTTATCTTATTAATAATTGACTCCTCTGCAAACTCTTTCTATATCTTATCTTAATTTCTTTAAAATAACCACCACATATCAAAATAACCTATTCTTAAAACATATTTTCAATTCAAATGTTGTTTACAAAACATATTTTATGTAGCGAATTAGTTGTTAGCGGAAATTACTTTAATTTTTTAAATCCTCAATAAAATGCATAATGTAGAACCTGTATCCATGTTTAAATTTTCAAGATTTTAAATTTTACACTGTTTCACCCAGTTGAGATTTAAACTTTATATGTAGCCGTTTACTTACATATAGAACATGCATATGTTATTTTCGCATTACGTAATATAAGTGTTTTATCAAGATAAATAACATAATAGTGAGTTGATAAATAATTATGCACTTATAACAACCATACTCCATTTGTGTAACTTTATGTCACAAAATCATTTTTACCCATTCAATAAATGTTTATGTAAAACCTCACGGTGTAAATTCAGTTTACATTGTATTTAATTTCAGGTCAAGGAACATGCAAATTAGCGCAATTGTTTAACCACGGTATTTGACACTATCAATGAAACTATGACAACTATTTCAGCACAGTTTTCAGTTGGCTAGCTACTAACGTTATTGACCTCTTTACAAAACCTATAAAGTGTAAAGGGTCTAGCAGCTATTTGACCACTCTTGGTCAGAAACTCAATTGGTTCTATTGCCGCTGCATTTCTTTGCTGCTTTGAAGCTATTTTTAATTTAGTTAGAAACCAATTAAAATGCTCTAATATTTCGCATTTTTCAATGGATTCAAGGAGCATGGATTCAATTAAAATGACTATGTTGCACGAAAATAAGGTATATTCTAAAAGAAAAGTTCCATTTAAAATAAAACGAGAATAATTGTTCATTAGTTTTCAATTTTGTAGTTTCCAATACATTATTCTATCAAAGGGAGCTATCTCAAGATTCCCCCCTTCTCTTTAACATGTAGTGGTGTACTTTACATGTATATTTTTAGAAAATTTTCAAGTCATTGGTTTTTTTTTACTGTTTAAACCATGGTCAAGACCGTGGTATCAAAATACTATCAAGACACTATCAAACGTTGGCTTTTTGTATATCCTGGTAATATGTTACGTAGTCATATTACTATCAAAACTACAAGAAGCAACCTAGGCTTAATGAAGCCTCCATTGTAATAACCACTAAATGGTTCTTTAACGATTTGAAATGACGGAGAAAATACAAAGGCTTTGAAAAAAAAATAGTTTTGCAGGTGCCATTTGTTTGTACTAACAATAGGAAATATGATAAATAGTTATTTGTGCAACTAGTGAGAAAAGTAAGCAATTGACTCACTCAAGAGAAATCCTTACTCACGAGCCGTAGGCGAGTGAGGAATGGTTTCTCGAGTGAGGCAATTGTACTTTGAACTCGAGTTGCACATTATACTTTTCCTACAGTTACCATAAAACAAATAAATTGGTCTTATGTTTCTTCAAACATAACCTATTTTTACACAGAAGTGAACTTTTAATATAACATATAATGTGAAGTGACAAATACAACAGTACAACAGCTGACCAGCTGATTTACAGCCAGTGCTGCCAACGTACTTCGCGCGCATAGGCCCTACGACGTTGCCTGCATGTTACGCGCTCACTATTTCGTGCCTTCACGTTGCAAATATGGAGTGAGACAAAGTAATTAGAGTGAGACAATGTTAACATTGTCTCACTGATGAGCGAATTGGCCACTTTGCTTTCTCAAATCAGTGAGATAACATGTACATTGTTAGGTAACTGTAGGAAAATACTATTATTTAATGCTCCTATGTGGTAGGACATTTAATGGAGCTTTTGTTTAAAAAAATAACCAAGTTTTTAAGAACATTTTTGTGGTATTTTATTTGTTAATATAGTTGGACTTTTCCCATGGATAGAGTAGTTTTTTTAATTTCCTACGTTTCGGGAAGTAAGGGGACTTCTACCTTCCTTATCGTAGTTTAGAACAAACAACCAATGGGAAAAGTCAAACTGTTTTATCTTTTAAGAAAATAACCAAGTAAAGCTGCGGCAAATTGTATAAATATTTAAATACTATAAATATGAAACTATTCTTTGTTATTTTATCAAATTGTTTGAACACTGTTATTGGTGTGCAGGTGGTGAAGATGTTGGCCATGGTTGTTGCTGTATTTGCCACCCTGTGGCTTCCATACCGAGGACTTCTAGTGTACAACTCTTTCGCCATATTGTTCAACAAGCCTAAATATATGGATCTTTGGTTCCTCATGTTTGCAAAAACATGTGTGTTCATTAATAGGTGAGTGAATAAAATACATGGGCTCAATTATCAACTGTCCCTATCTTTCGAAATATTATCAATATTAAATGAAACCCGTATGATCAAGAACAAAGGGTTCTAAATTCATAATGATATTTGTGAAATTGTTTGTGACATACATTAACATGCGTTTTGGTATCCAATCCAAAACACACCTAATAATTAACATTTAAACTGCCAATGTTTTATTTTAGTTTTATGAGGTTACTTACATATTCTCAAATTAGTCTTCCAAAATTATTGTATTTTAATTTACTCCATTATTCAACGTATTTAATTATACCGTGGAATTGTAAGAATACAGTATACAATAATGTTTATTAAAACTCATATATTTATAAAAAAATGTCGTTCATCTCTACCCCGATTCTCCCTAGCAGTGTTGCCAATCCCATGCTACAGGGATTAAATTAAATGTATTTAAAAATTTTGAAAATTATATTTATGACCCTTTCTCCTCCAAGACATCTTCTCGCATTTCCTGACCTCATCATTAATAATTACTTCTAAGTTATGGAACATCATACTTCACCGTACTAATCTCCTTCCTCTGCGACAGTGCCATCAACCCTATCCTGTACAACGCGATGTCTACAAGGTTTAGACGAGCATTCCAACGTTTCCTGTTGTGCGGAGAGCCTCGGGTGTCCACGACCGAGGCTACGTCGTCGCTCAAGCCTCTCTCCCGGGGAGTCACCACCTCCAGACCCCGCGGGACCAAGAGTAGCTTCAACACGACGATGACGTCCATGTGACAGGAGCAGGAGCGGTGGTGAGGAGGGAACTCTGTCGAGAAGACGCCGTAGTTGTTCAAAAACCGGGAGAACCGATGGGGGAGAAAATTGCAAAATTGACCGGGAGTTCTACGGTCTGGATAGTCATAAGAGTAATCGTGGTCATAAGTGCCGAAAAAACGAAATTGGGAAAGACATTTTATTGTGAAAATTATTGAAAACATGAGTCCTGATAGTGGGATACTTTGCAAAAGCAACTGATTAAAAGTTCTAGATTCTGTGGAGTTTGGAGTGGTCATAGTGCTCATCTTTTGTGGAGGCGACTATTTAAAATTCATAGATTCTAGTAAGCAAGATGGGATGGTAATTGGTCTTAAAAAATCGATTACGAGTTCTAGATTCCGAGGGTGTTTATGCCCATGAAGTGCTCATAATAAGGTATTTTTCTTTAGAAAAATTTACAGTTTTACTGATTGGCCGTTAGAAACTGATTTTAATCCGTTTATAGTAGGCCAGGAGTGCTCTCAATGGGTAGAAAAGTGTTTTGCAGCGATAGCTTATTACAGTTTAAGATTCTACTAAGTTGGAAGTTCTGAGAAGAGTATTGTGTAATGGGGACTGATTTTTTTTTGTTTTGTTCTACGACGTTAGGCACGAGCCCGGGATTGTTTCTCATATTACTCCAGGCTAGACCTAGGGGTTGCGGCATTATCACTTAGATACAATCCATTGGTGATTTGGCGGGATTTGAACCTGGGAGCTCAGGCACCGAAGTCCCGCGCTTTAACTACTCAACCAGTTCGCTCCCCAATGGCGACTGATAGCAGCTAAAATTTAATAAAACTGGAAGTTTCCGTGAATATGACGTCAGATATATTATGTTTCGTGATAAAGGGAACTTATTGGAGAGTCCTAGTAAACGTTACTGATGTTTGTGATATTAGGAGACAAAGGAGAATCAATGAGTATATAACTAGTTTTATAGCCCTAACGAGCTACTGGAGGTACAGAGTAGTAGTGCTAGCTATTTTAATACTTTTGAATTTGTATAAAACGTACTGATAAACCATTTACATGCATAATTTTCAACGCGTTTCTTGCTCACATGAATCACAATTTAACGAGCCTCTCGCAAAGTAAACTAGTTTTAAATTCAATTTAGTTTTTATTGGAGATTGGGAGATTATGCTATAAGTTAACTAAATTTTATGTTGCCTTGTCAGTTAGGTCATATTAATAAAGTTTGTTTAAGCCGGAAAACATTTTCACACGTTGTGATGCACTTACTTCTCGGTGAATTTTGGTGAGCCTACACTAGTGTAAATTACATCTACACTGCATTATTACAGTTGGAAAATTTATTTGTGACCGGAGATGTGCGAATCTAGAGAGCTGAATGCTTTTATAACTCTTAAAAAATATCAAATGAACAGTTTTGATACCTAGCCATAAATATTATAAATTAAAGACAAATTAAAGAAACGATCATACCTCGGAAAATTTTCAAGTTAAATAAATATGGAAAAAATTCAATGGAGCATACTGATCTTGTAATTTAAGAAATATAAAATTATTGTTTTACAACGAAAAACAATTATTAATTTTTATAAGAAAAAAATCTTGTATAGGCCTAGTCTTTGAAAACTGTTTTAGGGGTGAAACATATAACTGACTATACCAGAACTTCTTGGTTCACTTTATACTTCATAATTTATCATGCATTTGTTATGATCAATATGCTTATATATGTATATAAACTTTTGCTATGTCTGTTAATCACATAAAACTGATTACCTACAAATTGAACAAAATTACTTTCCGATGAACCAATAAATTTAAAGACTTGGCAACCACTCTTGTTAGCTTTCAAACTGTTTAGGGGTTGTAATTCAACTTTCAAAACAATTAGTCCATCTCACCAGATAACAAATAATTAATTAGTACTTGATTGAGTACTACACCAAGTAATCAGATTTGTACCAAGAAGGGGTTTGCTATTTAATTGTAATATATATTATTTGTAATTATTACTACTTAATACAACAAATTGGGATTTAACCTTAAATTGAAATACTAAACCAATTTTGTTTTATTTTTAATTTCACGTAATATTTGTATCAGCAATATAATTATTTGTGATCAAATTTACATATAAATGAGTTTGGATATTATTTTTTGTTTGTTTTAGACAATTTGTTATTAAGTAAATATATTAATTCATTGTAATATTATTTTGACAACTTTATGTTTATCGTTTCAATGTAATACCATTATAATTTATAACAAATTAGAATATTTATATAGTTATTATTCGCAAATTTCCCATATAGTTTTAAGCTATTACCGTGTTTGCAATTCACCATTAAAGTGCGATTCTACTGGTATAATAAGTATTATGAATGAAGTTTTTAACATAGGCCTATAGGTTGTGTTGTTTAAAACAAAATATGAGGATATATTTTTGTAATATCAAGGAGAAATTATAATCCAGAGCTATATTGTCAAGTAATTCCAAAATTTGTATTTTGATTTCTAAAAATTTTAAAATAAATGTTTGTTAAATGTTTTACAATTCAGAGCCTTTTATTAGTTACCTTACTTACATTCCATTCGGGTTTTCATAAATCCATAAAAAAAGTAAACACGAAATCTAAGACAGTAAACTCAACAATCATTGTGTAACGAAGCGGAATGTACCTGAATCTGAAAGACTTCACATTCCCAATTTCATGCAAATGAGAAGAGATTTTCATGAATGTCTGGCTAAAAATAATTTTTATTTTGAGGTACCGGTATGGGTAACTTTATTGGCTAACATTACCTTAAAATACACAACTACTAGTTTTGTTTGCTATACTGATGCGAATTATGTTACCAGTGAATTATAAACATATATAATATTATGTGATTAACATTCAAACATCAATCAATATGATATTTTAAAGCGTGTAAATCAATTATATTTTTACTGTAGGCCTATACTTTATAAAGCTTAAAACTTGGTTTGCTATTAAACTCTTTGGATAGACTAAACGCATGACTTGGCTTATATGCATGCACCTGCCGCCCTACACTCAATCATCAGTCTCAATTCTTACATCTTAGTTTCGCACAATTTAACAATCTAATAAATCTTTCATGTGTATGGTGTTGCGTATGTGAATAATAAATTATTTAATTAAAAGGTATTCAAAATAGATTACACTAAACAGCTTTTAGATTTAGGCTGCAAGTTACAGACAAAGGTCCAACTTCTAATAGTTAATTTATTTATTCAAAAAAACTGTTTAGAGTATAAATATAAAATACCTATGTTTTTCGAAGTGCAATGAACCCTTTTATTTTTAATACAAGTCAAACTAATTCGACTGCAATAGTTGTCTAGTTTATGAATATTTAGCTTTTAAAATGTTCTTTCCACCTATTGGTGGGAAGAAAATTTTTAATATATTTTTAAAACCCCACGTGCGAAACATCACCATTCACAACATTTTAAGTTTCTTTAACTGTAAAAATTACAATTTAATTAAAATCCTGTTCTTATATAAAGCTGAAAACTTAAGAAATAACAGACATATGCAAATTTCCATTATACTCATAATCTTTGTACGATAACTATCCTGATAGAAAACAGCACGAAAACAGTAATAACCTTGACGTATTCTAGTTGTACTAGATACACTAATATACCATAATGTAGTGACAAGTAAATTAGTAAATTGTCTTCCTCGAGGTGAAACTGAACCGTCTTCCGTGATTAATTAATTTGACACTCGGTTGACACGTTCAGCGTTCAGCGCGTTGATAAGGTACGTTAATTAATAGGGGAATATTAAACAGTCATCAATAAACAGAGTTCCACATCGATGCTGGGAATAATTTGATTTCAATCTACCAAGAGTTTACAGTAATCATTCTGGGAAGGTTGGTATTATTAGCATATCAGTTAGTACAGATCCTGGAAGAGTGTGATTCTGCTAATGTAATATAAGAGTGAATTTTTTTTTTCAAGAATTTATGCATCAAAAATAATATTTCTATGGTCAAAATCTGTGAAAAGGAAACTGTGAAGTATACTAGTAAATGTAATAACTAATACTGTTTTATGCACCAATTGTTTTATGCACGCATTTCTCATCAAGAGTAATGCAAGTATGTTTATTCTGCAAATAGTTAAATATAAATGTAAATCATTAGTCAAGACATGAATTATACTTGGATAGTAGGTCTATATGTGGCGTAATAGCACTTGACCAAACCTACTTTGTAATTTATATGGAAGTTAAGAGATCAATCGAATGGTTCGTTTAAAACTAATCCAGTAGGGAAAGTTTTGATGAAAATCTCACTTTGATTATACTAAATTTTATTTTAACAACCTCCAAATAATCCCTTTTGAGCCGATGGATGCGTTGTATGGGAAACTAGGGTGTAGCAGGAAGAAGTTTATACGTTTGATTTTATATTACCAGCCCAATGCACCGGAAGCTTTGAAACTTGACATAATTCATAAAGTAGGTTTTGTAAATGTTTTGTGAAAAAATAAGCTTCCTAAAATTTTTAGAAACAAAATGGTGACATATTGTAAATGTTGCCTATTTACTTCTGATAAAAATAACTGTCTTAAACTATTGCCTGATTTGTTTCAGGGGTTGCATTTTTAACACTTGTAGAAACGGCTGATTTCCTTACAGAAGAATATTGCTTGAACCATGAACAGATTAACTTAACCTTATCGAGTGCAGTTGTAAATAATCTAAATTTAGATTAAGATTCTAGTACCGTGTCGTTAACAGTTTCTATTAAAATATTTGTCCATCTTAATTATTGTTTGATTTCTCACTTCAGGATAGATCTCTTGGTGTTTTAGGCATTATTGCTCAGATAAAATCCATTTGTATTTGGCGGGATTCGAACCCGGGACCTCTGGGACCGAAGTCCCACCATCCCCTACTGTTTGTTTAATGAAAGTAATTCTTCGAACAGTCGTTAAAGGTTAATTAAACGTTAAACGTTAATTAAAAATTAACACCGGGAAAATTATTTTAATATGTGAAGAACATAAATGTGAGCACTTAATTGTACATAAATTCAGATTTTAACGTATATAACAACGACAGTTTAATTAAAATGAACAGAACGTAG